TGCACGGGGGTCAGGTGCGCGCGGGGGTCCGGCGGCGGCGGCGTGAGCCGCGGGGTCCGGGCCGCGGGTCAGGGCGGTCCGGCGTGGCCATCGCGTCTGGGACGCCGGGCGGCTGCAGCCGGGCAGAGAGAGGGCGAGGGCCAGGAGGAAGATCCCCTGCGCCCTCTTCTGCGTCTCAGAACTTTTACGGTCAACACAGGATTATTCTGTAAGGTGAGCTCCAAAGTTACTTTATCAAATTCTGAAATAGACCTTAGTGAGTCTGCTTGGAATGACATTGAATTTATACACTAAATTAGAGAGAACTGACGCTTTTACTCTGGCTGATTCTTCCACTCCAAGAACAGGGTGGGTTGCATTTATTTTCAACTCTGACCTTTTTCACAGTAGCATGTGAGGAAAAATTATAATAGATCCTGTAGATTATGCACAAGTTTTCCCAACTAGTTTGTTTTCATTTGCTTTGTGAATGGGCTCTGTATTTGCATTAAAATTTCTAATTAGCAATGTTTTGCATTTAAGAACGCTATTAGATTTTTTAAAAAATGTTATGCCAAATCCACATAACATAAAAGTAATCATTTTAAAGGGTACAGTTCAGTGTATTCAGGATAGTCACGCTGTTACGGTACCACCATATTTATCAAATTCCAAAATAGCTTCACCGCGGGCCGGCCCGGTGGTGCACTGGATAAGTGTGCCGCTTGAGAAGCGCGGCGGCGCTCCCGCCCGAGGGTTCGGATCCCGCATGCAGACCGGTTCCGCTCACTGGCTGAGCGAGGCGCGGGAGCGACACCGAGGGTTGCGATCCCGTTGCCGGTCCCTGGTCCGGTACGGGGGCAACACTGAGGGTTGCGATCCGTTGCCGGACACGGAAAAAGACAAAAGACAAAAAAAAAAAAAAAAAAATAGCTTCATCGCCGCAAAAGAAACCCCGTTCCCGTTAGCAGTCACTCCCCAGCCCCTCTCCCCCGGCCCTGGCAACCCTCAGTCTGCTTTCCGTCTCTGGATTTGCTGGACAACTAGTATGTACAGAATGATGTTATGCGGCCTTTTGTGTCTGGCGGCTTCACTTCCAATGTCTTCAAGAATCACGTCTTTCACTCACGGCAATGTCATCTGCGTTGGAGCGTGTATCAGTACTGTGTTCTTCTGGGTGACTAATAATATCCCCAGTGTATGGGTGGACCATATTTGTTTATTCGTTCCTCTGTTGATGGACATTTGGGTTGTTTTCCCATTTTGCCTTTTGTACCCGGTGCTACTATGAACACTTGTGTACAAGTATTAGTTCCTTGAGTGCCTGTTTTCAATTCTTTTGGGCATATTCCTAGTGTTGACTCGTGGTAATTCTGTGTTTAAGTCTTTGAGGAACATTTCCTTCCTTTTTTTTTTGAGTATTTCAATTTCAATTTTTTATTTTTTTAAATGATGACAAAATATACATAATATAAAACTCACCATTTTAACCATTTTTAACTGAACAATTCAGTGGCATTAAATACATTCAGACTTGTGTAACCATCACCACTATCTATTTTGAAATTTTGTCATCATCCCAAACAGAAACTCTGTACCCATTAAGCAGTAACTGCCCGTTCCCCTGCCCCACCCTGGTAACCTCTTTCCTACTTTCTGTCTCCATGAATTTGCCTATTCTAGGTACCGCCTACAAATGCAATCTTATGGTATTTGTCCTTTTCTGTCAGGCTTCCTTCACTTAGCTCGTTTTCAAAGCTCATTCATCCATGTTGTAGCATTTATCAGTGATTAATTCCATGTTATGAACATCTGTGTACAAGTATTTGTTTACCTGTTCTCATTAATCTTTGGTGTACACCTAGGAGTAGAATTGCTGAGCCATACGGTGATCCTATATTTGACTGAGGAACCACCAGGTGTTCTACAGTGGCTGCCTTATAGACACTCCGACCAGTAATATGGGAGGTTCCAGGTTCCCCATATTCTTGCCAGCACTTATTACCCCTTTCTTTTTTCGATTTTTTTTTCAAAGATGACCAGTAAGGGGATCTGAACCCTTGGCTTGGTGTTGTCAGCACCGCGCTCAGCCAGTGAGTGAACCGGCCATCCCTATATAAGGATCTGAACCCGTGGCCTTGGTGTTATCAGCACCGCACTCTCCCGAGTGAGCCACGGGCCGGCCCTATTTTTTTATTGTGGTAAAATACACATAACGTTCAGCATCCTAACCATGTTTAAGTGCACAGTTCGGCAGCATTCCATCAATTCATAGTGTTGTGCAGCCATCACCACCAAGTCTTCATCTTCTAGAATGGCAGCACTATACTCATTAAACAATCACTCATTTCCCCTTTCCCACAGCCCCTGGCAACCACCTTCCTATTTTCTATCTCTATGATTTTGAGCACTCTGTCTCCTGTAAGTGGAATCATGCAGTTTTTGTCCTTTTGTGACTGGCTTATCTCACTATAATGTTCTCAAGGTTCATCCAGGTCGTAGTGTATGTCAGAAGTTCCTTCCTTTTTTTTTTTTTTTTCCTTTTTGTCTCTTTTTTTTTTCGTGAACGGCAACGGATCACAACCCTCAGTGTCGCGCCCCTACAGGACCGGGACCGGCCACGGGATCGCAACCCTCGGTGCTGCTCCCGCCCCTCGCTCAGCCAGTGAGCGGCCGGTCTGTATGTGGGATCCGAACCCTCGGCGGGAGCGCCACCGCACTTCCTAAGCGGCGCACTACAGCAGTGCGCCACCAGGCCGGCCCAGAAGTTCCTTCCTTTTTAAGTCAGAATATTCTGTTGTATGTATATGCAGTGGATTGAATTACGTCCCCCCAAAACTTACCAAAGCTTGAATTGTGTCCCCCAAGTTTTATGTATTAGAAACTTAGCCCCTCACTGTGACTGTTAAGAGGGTGGGAAATCCTATTAAGGTAATTGAAAGGTGGAGCCTTGAAGAGGTGATTGGATTGTAGGACTGTGCAGTAGTGAATGGATTAACGATGGTGGTCAGGGGCGTGGTTCTGAGGGCTTTAAAAGAAGAGGAGAATCTCTCTCTCTGCTCTCT